CAAGCAGACCAACTCTGTTCAAAAATAAGAAATAAGTATGGATCAAACAAAAGAAAGCTAAACTGATATCTAACCACCCTGATACTGCTGACTCTCTTGCAAGTCCAAGGTCCCGAGTTTGATCCCCGGTACAAAAAAAAAAAAAAGAAAAAGTTTTTAAAAAATAAAAACAGCTTCTCTGAAATTACTTCTTTTTTTTTTTCTTTTGGTACTGGGGATCGAACTTGGGTCCTTGTGCTTGTGCAGCAGGTGGCAAAACCACTGAGCTAAATCCCCGGCCCTTGAAATTACTTCTTGATGAGAAAAAAAAAGGAAATTGAATAGCTTGCTATAATCCTTTTAGTTTAACAAATAAGGAAACAGGGCTTCTTTCTCTGTACCAAAATGATACTGAACACTTCAAGATACTTTTTCTTCCCACATTTTTTTTCCACATTTTTTATTAGTGCATGTTGACCATACAGATTAATGGGTTTCATTTTGGCAGATTTGTACATGCACCTAACATATTTCATCATTTTTAAAAAACAAACCCTAGGGCCAGGTATTTAGCTCAGTGGTTCCACTGCCTGCCTTGCAAGCGGAAGGTCCCAAGTTCAATCCCTAGTACCAAAAATCAAAACAAAAACAAACAAACAAAAACCCTTAGATGGTTCTCTTTTTGCTTCTGTCCTTGACTAGTTATGCCTCAAGTTAATTTCTAGCCTAGTAAAACTCCTATTATTTCTTTTATCAGAAGATAAAATAAGTGTGGGAGACCTTTAAATAGAAAAAGTAAGTTGGAAAAAGTGGCCTCATCTAATTTCTATGCTGAGCTATCTATACCTAAGAAAATATGGTATAGTATTTTGCTGTTTGGTATGCCCTTTACCTTCTAATATATTTTATATTTTCAAGAAGTCTATTTACCTGCTTCAAAGCAACTCTGGAATCTTCTTATGCTGTGACTATTTCAATATAGGCTTTAGCCGGGCATGGTGGTGCACACCTGTAATCCAGGACTAGGCAGGCTGAGGCAGGAAGATCACTGTGAGTTCAAGGCCAGCCTGGACTACATAATGAGACCTTGTCTCAAAAAAAAAAAGGCTTAATCTTGGACCTTTCCTTTGAAGGTTGGTTTCCCTAGCTTGCAGGGATGGACATCCTTGCTGATAGGAAAGACCTATGAAGCCTCAGCCTAGTGAGTTCATGTCTGAACGCCCATGTCTGCCCTTCTACCTAAACCTTCAAATTTGTTTTAGATGCAGGAAATGACAAGAAAGGAGATGCCAAGTGACAACCCCCAGGACAATGGTAAATATTTTGATGAGTATTTTCTCCCACACTATCATAGAAATCTGAATGTAATGAGATTTGAGAGATGATGTTGCAGCTTTGGTCAACTAATCTTTCTGCTTTTCTGAGGGGCTGCCTTGGATGAGTAGGGATGTGGAAGGCCGTCTGCTTAAAGAGTAGATATTCTACCTCCTTTGTTCTTTTTGTATTAGCTGACTAGTCTGTATTTCTTTTTCTTTGCCTTCTTTGGGTTTCTTATTTTCCTATTCGTTCTTTTTTTCCTTCTACCAGTTTGTTAAGTTACACTTTCTCTAACTTACTTTCTATACTTTTAGTATTATTTTCAAAATGGCAATATATGTCCTTATGCAATTTTAAAATGAATCAATATCTTAAGTCTTCTTTTGGGTAAGTTAAAGATCTTAAGAGTACTTTTCTCCAGTTATCTCTCTGAAGTATATTATTCCTATGGCTTTTATTTCTCTATTTTAAAAACCCACAAGATATTTTTATACAGACAATATCCATTTAAATATATCCGTGTATTTACCACTTTTTCTCTTCATTTCTTTTTTTTTTTTTTGGTACTGGGGATCAAACTTGGGACCTTGCACTTGCAAGGCAGGCAGCGGAACCACTGAGCTAAATCCCCAGGCTTTCTTCATTTCTTTTTTTAATCCCAGACTTTTCTTCTGAGTTAATTTTCCTCTATCTTTAGAATTTCCTTTAGTTTAGGCCTACTGCAATAAACTCTTTCAGTTTTTATTTGAAATACCTTTATTCCACCTTTATTCTTGAAGTATATTTTTCTCTTTATTATTGTTTTTTATTAGTGTATGTTTGCAATACATAATAGGTATATTTATTTTGGGGAACTGGTACATGTGTGTAACATAGTTTGATCATTTTCAAGCTCTTTCCCCTTCTTTCTTCCCCCTTCCTCATGTAGGGCATTTTTGCTGGGTATAGATTTTTAGGCTGGTGGTATTTTTCTTTCAGAATACTGAAGTTATTCCACTGTAGTCTATCTTTTGTGGTTACTTTTGAGAAGTCAGCCTGAAGTCTTTAACTCCTATAGATAATCTTTCTTTTTTTCTTCTGACTGCTTTTAGGATTTTCCAGTTGTCTTTGGTTTTCTGCAGTTTCACTGTGATGTGGAGATTTATTTTTATTTATCCTGCTTGGTACTTATTATACTTCTGAAATCTGTGAATTATATCCCATTAATTCTGGAAAGTACCGTTTGGAAACAAATATTTTTTGTGTCCCATTCTTTCTCTCTTATCCTTGTGGAATTTCTAATTAAATAAATATATGTCAGAAATATTCACTTTGTCCTCTTTATCTCTTATTCTTTCATAATTTTGTCTTTTTTGTCTGATCTACATTCTGGATAATTCCTTCTGACCCAACTTTCAATTAATTAACATCCTCATCTGTGTCTAATTTGCTGTTAAACCTGTCTGCTGAATTTTTAATTTCAATTTGTTTTCTCAGTCTATGTTTGATTTGGTTCTTTTTCAGATCCTATAGGTCACATTTTCTAAGGAGAACAGTTCAGGCTTGTTTTATATTTAAGCATACCTGTCTTATAGGCTGTAATCTCTTATTTATAGTATCTAATATTTTTGTGCATGTTTTTCTGGGGGTTGCTTTCTAATTTTTTTTACTCATATCCTCTTGTTTCCTTTTTTTTTTTTTTTGGTACCAGGGATCGAACTCAGGACCTTACCCTTGTGAGGCAGACACAGTGCCACTGAACTAAATCCCCAGCCCTGTTTCCTTTTTGTTTGTCTTTTGGCTGTTTGTTATTATATTTGAACAATTGTTTGAACTAACAACTATTAGTCTTAAGTGAGTATATTTTTTCCAGAACAAATTTTCATTGGCTTCTGTCAGGTGCCTAGAACACTGTCAGTCTGGGATCACCTTAATCCCATTTTAAGGTTTGAAGTTCCCTGACTATGCAGACAATGCAAACCTGGATAACCATTCTTTACAAGGGTTAATTTATTTATAGTTTACCTTTAATCTGAGCAGTGTATACTGTCCAGGGTTTCCTCTTTGTGTGTGTGTGTGTGTGTGTGTGTGTGTGTGTGTGTGTGTGTGTGTGTGTTTTGTGACAAGGATATTCTCAAACCCCTCACCTTTGGTGGACCTTGAACTTTTTCTTATGTCTCACCCTAAAAAGCCTTCAAGTAAAAGGGGCTTTCTGTGATAGACTTAATCTATAGGGCTTTTTATTGTTTTCTAGAATTTGACCTAGAAATTCCTCACTATCTTTTTAGCTCTTTGGTGCTTTTAAGAGAATGATTCATCCTATTGCTTTTATGTGTTCAACAGGAGGATAGTCTGAATTATCTAATTTGTCATTACTTAAAACAGAAGTCTCTTGGGCCAGGGATTTAGCTCAGTGGTGCTGCCGCCTGCCTCGCAAGCACAAAGTCCCGAGATCGATCTCTAGTACCAAAAAAAAAAAAAAAAAAATCAGAAGTCTCTTACCTTACTTTCTTTTTGTTGTCTAAAGATACTGTTCTACAGGGCCGGGGATTTAGCTCAGTGGTTTCGCCACCTGCTGCACAAGCACAAGGACCCGAGCTCAATCCCTGGCACCAAAAAAAAAAAAAAAGATACTGTTCTATAACCTTTCCCACACTGTACATGTTGAGATTGGTGTTCTTGTAGGTCCTTAACAACATTAGAGTTGGAAGGGTTATTGTGACTAACTCAGATATAGTATGTTTTGTTTCCCAAGGAAGCCCTTGAAGTATATGAAGCACTGAAAACACTAAAGAACACAGAGCCTTTTGATTTTTGTTGGTTGTTCTACCTGCCCCTGTGAGGCTTTTTAGAGATGGCAGATACAGCTATCTGAGAAAAAATGTTTTGTAGCTGGGCTAGCACTAGGCCACGGATTTTTTTTTTTAAGTTGAAAATGGCATTTATTTTTTTATTTTTTATTTTTATTT